CTTACTTTCTGACTGGAATCCATAGAATTCTAGCGATACTTAAATTCTGAACAAACCCCAGCTGTTCGAATGATTTCAAGGCATAGTTTGTTATTGTCAATCCACTGAAGGGAGTCATAGCTTATTATTGTCAACTGAAACCCATATAGTCCATAGAGACAAGCTCAGTATCATCTCAAGCCTCTACCATGACAGCTAATAAGGTATAATTATCTCAGCATCTGCTCCTCAGCTGTTTATAAAGTTGCTAGTCTTTCTGCTTTTTGATTGGCCTAAGCGTTTCTGGCCGAGTCCAACAAAACACGTCAGTCGAAGACAAGTCCAAGAGAAGACAAGTGTCCTTCTCCACCTGGTCTTTCCATTGCAAAGGAGGCCTTCCTCTCATCAAAATCGCGACTCGCGTTTGTACATGACCAAGCCACTTTGGCTATATCGTTGTAAAACTTATGCAAATTATCAATCCATCATCCGCAGTCTTTATTCAGCACAATTTTCAGGATTATTCACATCCGATCGGAGGTTCTTTCCAAATTTGAATATTCTGGCATCGTCGGCGAAGAGAAAAACGCTATGATACTTTCAATTTTGCATCTTACTTACATATGTTTCGTTAATGTACATGTTATCCATAGGCTTTTCAATAGGTTAATCTTATGCTCTCCAACATGCCGGCTTATCACAGTCGATCGATATGCGGGGCGATCATTTACGCTGAATGCTTAAAATAAAACTAGTTCTTTGTGCAGCAGTAGGCGCTCGAATGAAGATAACGCCAGGTCTTAATTCCATACTCTAGCTTCGCATTCCACGTTATATCCTTAAACTTTGGAGCTTGGCGTAGACTGTATCGAAGAAGCTGGGGCTTCGGTAAAAGTGAAATAGGGGCGCCTTATTTAGACATAAGTAGTTTCCAAAAACTATCCTACCCCATCGGTAGGCTAGAGGGTGGAACTTCTGTACAACCACACCTCGATTTTTCATATGCTAGCGCACGATCTGGTTTATTAAACTCACATTCTACGCAAGAAAACGCAAGTGCTCTCAAAAGACGGTGAAAGAATTTAAAATAGAATAAATGCCCCGAGGTACTTATATGTATTCCATCGAAACAACTCTGAAGAGTGAGAGCTCTGTAGCGCAGTTGTCAACACCTTACTTTGTTACTTCCTGAATGGGAAGGAGGTCATACCCACACGTATTATAAAACAGGCAATATGCCTGCACATTCGTTGGTCCCAACAAATCCTGCACTGCTAGTCAATGGGAGGTGTCGAAGGACACGATCACTCAGAGAAGTTCCTTTGCTTCAGTGAGAAACGACCTCATCTTTCGCTCATGCTGAAAGGAAAAAGATCCAACGATCTCATCGTAGAGCCAGATTTTTAAACGACTACACGCTTAGAGCAGTCAACCCAGTGCAGATTTTATAACTGAAGCTTATGCAATTCCTGGGTATGTTAAACAACTAAACTTGAAATTGGGTAGCACAATAGATCTAATCTGGTCGCGCGGTTAGAGCTATGCACCCTTACATAACCAAGGAGCTAATGCGACCTTCTCAACTTCGTATTCAAGAGGTTCAGCTTGCAATTTTTTTCTTTTTAATTCTTTTATATCTAATAGCTGTGCAATCCATTTACCTTTTCGCTTCAGTGGAAATGGTGTTCTTTCGGCTAACTCCGAAACGAGAGCTAGTGACCGATATCCATGTGCTTGTGAGCTCACTCGCTCGCTTTAGTCTTAGCGCAGTTTAAATAATTCACTAGTTTCCATTAGATTTCAGCAACAAAATTCGAGAGAGTTTCAGCACTTCCAGTTTATCCTGACTATTTCTAGACTTCAATCGAGACATTATCTTCGAAATGTAAAAATGTCATTTTTACCTTCCGCACCATTTCTGCAGACCTCCAATTTGACTAGTTTTTTATCGCTTTGTCCGCCTCAATTCTATGATTTTATAAACTATGAGCGTCACATTAAAAAAAAAATAAAAATAAAAACAATTCATAACAAAAAACCAACAATTATGCTAATGACTTCATAGACGTCCACACACATAGGGCGCATATTCTAACCTCGATTGATTGGTGAATATAATTTTTATTCAAACTAAATTAGCGACTATTTATGTTTATAGCGCATGCGTATAACTTGCCCGTTGTCCTGTTACATATGCAGATACATACATACATATGTACATACATTCCAGGGTATGAAATCGGATATCAATGAGCTAGGAAGAAGCTTATGATGTCATTTGTTGCTTAAAGGTGTGCTTGTTTCTAAATACAATGGGAGAAAGTTACATTGAAAAAAGCTTTTAACAACCTCAGATGTTCATGTCTTTTTCTCGCTAAATTTTTTTTAACCTGTTGCATACCAATACATTGGTTGTATTGTTTTTCTGATTCCTTTTTGTTTCTAATTTGCATTTTTTTCGATTGCATTAATTCATTCATTTTTGAATTCCAATCGTTTGCTTTGATCTTTACGCTTGTCGTAAAGAAACCGTTAGAAGCTGATACACTCAGTTGTTTATTTTTTGTGTTAAATCACAGGTTTTGAAGGCCTTCGAGTCTAAGACGCAATTGCCCGGCAAGTGGTTATAATATATAGTTATTACATAAGTGCGGATAACACATTTGTTCATTGAAAGCCATCAAAAATTTTATAATGGTTCTACTTTACTTACGGATAACACGGATAACGCGTTTGGGAGAATCCTTTTTGTTGGACGCAGAGAATTATTAATATCCATGACAATTACATTGAGTGGTCATATTATCCGTAGTCAAAGATCTACCGGAAAAAGAAACGAGTCTTTTCTCGTAGTTTAAGCCTTTGATTGTGCATTTTAAAAGGTATAAACCCGTACGGATAAAGCAGTTTTTTCCGAGTAACCTAATTTCAGACAACAATAGATGGGAGCAATATAAAAAACCATTTTTGTGCTAATAGCTGGCTTTCAGCAACGCTGGATAAAAAAAAAATTTTGAATGAAAAAAGTTTCGATGGCCTGAAGAAACACTAGTTTAGGTACCCCTTGAAATTGCTTACGTAAATAAACATTCGTCTAAGTTCATACCTTGTCGGATAAATAGTGTTGATGATTATGTGGAATGCGTCACTGAGAAAATATCTTAAATGGAAAATAATTACTATTTGAACACTAGGAGGAGATGAATACCAATTGGTTGCGGTATTTCAGAGCAATCGCTACCAAAACTATGATTTCCAAATCTTTTAAGATTCGAATGAGCGCTCGGATAAAAGCTTTAATCAAGCGGATAAATGGTTTTAATGCCCTATAAGACTTAATTCAACACTCGGATAAGTTGGAAAGCGGTCGGGTTAGGTATTTTAATGTAACCGTTAGAAAAGCCATGACATCAAAATCTCTTAAGATTCGATTGGAAGCTGGGATAAATATAATATGCCAGCTGATAAAATAGATTTCTAATTTTATGGCTACAATGATGGTTTAAATACCCCATAAGACTTAATTCAACAATCGGATAAACTGTAAAGCAATCGGTTGAGGTATTTCAATGCAATCGTTAGCAAAACCATGATTTCAAAATCTTTTGAGATTCGATTAAACGCTCGGATAAAAATTTTATGTAAATGGATAAATTATATTTCTCGTTTTATTACTACAATTATGGGTTAAATACCCCGCACAACTTATTTCAACGCACGGATAAATTAAAAAGCAATCGGTCGGGGTATTTCAAATAAATATCTTACAAAATTATGATATGAAAATCTTTGGAAACAGAAAAAGTGCTCGGATAAGATAATATGCAACTGGATAAGTAAAATTAGTCGCTGCATTCCTTCAACAATGTTAAAAAATTTTCAATAGATACAAAATTTTACTTTCGGATAACATGTTCGGCACTTGAATATAGCATTTCAATGCAATCGCTTGCAAAATTATAATTTAACAGTCCTTCACGAAACAAATAAATGCATCGGTTAAAAACATATGCAACCGTATACGACGGATAAGGCATTTTACTGCTACCGAAATGATCTCAATACTCTCACATCTAAATCTAACTCACGGATAAGATGTTAGGCAGTCAAATAAGCTACGTCGATGCAACTAATCGCTTAAAAAATATCTGAAAACATCTAAGCTCGCCTTTTCATGCTTAAAATACATAGCTTCTTGGTCAATTTAGAGCTCCAAGACTTGTTTTATCAAACACATATACTCGCACACACACATGCGCTTACATACATATTTACTCCATAGAAAATTAGCATTAGCGAATTCCAAAGATTTTACAAATTTAATTATTATCTTTGTTTAGCTGTCAACCTGTTTTGATCGATAATTAATTAGCGCGACAAAAGCTTAAAAAAAGAACGTGATTTTGCAAACTGCCATTGTGAACGCGTCGAACGTACAAGCGCTGCCAGACTTTATGGCACGTCCCAGCACCCCGTTCACCCCGCCACAAGTGGCTAGGTACTTGCCTAGTCTTTTACTGTTGGTGCGCTTCTTCTTTGCTAGGCTATTTTACACTCTTCTATGGTATTATTGGAAAAATAGTGGAAAAAAAAATATTTTTATATATGATGTACATATTTATTATGTACATATTTAAAATTTTTATGTACTAGCTACTCGCTTTTTTATAAATTTTTTCATTCAACGTTTTTGTTAATTTTTCTTTTCTTTTTTTCGTTGTAGGTTTTTGGCAAATTATTGACATTTAACATTGAATTTGAACAAAACAATTGGATACAAAAAACTTCTAAAAACAAAATAATTAAATGAAAACCAAAAACAGCAAATTGGCAATTCAAAACTAAACAAAATTATTAAACCCATTTTTATGATTTGCATTTAAAACGTTTTGCAAGCATCTAACAAAAGTTGACTTCAGTAAATTTTGCATTGAAAAAACATAAAACAAAACAAAAAACTTCAAGAAAAATCCACCAGGAAAAACAAAAACATTCCAAAAATTTTGCCAAACGCACAGAAATTTTAAGTTTCTAATTTTTGTAAATTCAAAAGTAAAAATCTACGCAAAAAACTAAAAAAACAAAATGGCATCAGAATTGGATCAATTTGCCGAGTTGGAATTGTCAAAGGAAGATCGCGAACAAATATTTGATCCGCCTTTGGATCGACCGCCGTTGGAAGGTGCTGGCACCTCAAGGTATTTAATATTTCTACACTCAACCTTTTTTGAATAGCAATACAAATGACCTTTTTATAAAAAAATTTTTAAACTTAAAATTTTCCATTCAACTAACCCTTAAAAAAACTCAGCGAACTTTGAAAGTAGTTGCCACTAACCGAAATTAGTTTTATTGCAATTATTTTATGTGGGAATTTTTTTTTATTCTTTATTTTTAATTTTAATTTAACACTTATGCAAACGCTTTTAGAAATATGCGCTTTTTATAAATAAAAGCCAAATACTTAGCTAAGGACTACGAGGTGGTAATATCCAAAAAAAAAATTATTAAAATTTGAAACATTTTAGAAGTTATCTGAATATTTTTATTACAAAATTATTAAAAAAAAAAATCTTGTATAGAAAACATTTGCTTTTAATAGTTTCTAGAGCCTAAATCTACTTATGTTTACCATCAAAATATACAGAAATATGTCAAATGGAACTCTGTGTCCGCCTTCCTGGGTAGCGTAATTTTTTATTTTTTTTTAAGTTGATCCTTATGAACGGATGTGTATGACAAAGAATAACATATTTTACCCCTTGTTGTTTAGAAATGAGGGTTGTCGAAGGATCTAATGACAGCGAGGCAGAAAAAAAAAAATTAAAATGTGAAAAAAAACTTAAAAAAAACAATGCTGTGAATCAAGCGAAAGGAAGTCTGCTAAATACCAGCTAATTTCTGCCACAAATAGTAAATTAGGCATATCAAAATACACGAGGACAAGCCCACACACGCATACAAAAAACACATTCAAGCATACAAACATGCCACGCATGCATAAGAAATCTCTCAAAATAGCTGAAAAATCAAGACAGCAAGCAGTAAATAATAGACGAACATTATGTGATGGGGGAAGAAAAAATGCGCCACAGAACAGTATGAGGATACAGAAACTAGCAAAAAATCACCACTCTTCCTCATTTGTAGACACAGATTTGCCTAGATACAGAGGCGTGTGCATGCGTTGCAACTACTATTAGAAGTACAGTTAGAGCAACGCAATTTTGATAACAAATTATTTTTATTTTTTTGCTCCCAAAATAACAGTTTAAGTTGAAAATAATCACACTAAATTACACGCGCTATACATTCATAGGCAAAATGATATTGATATGAGCGCGGATAACACGTTCGTGGCTTAAAAAAAGGTTTTTATAGCTAAAAGTTGTTTCTCTTTTTGATTTCATTCATTATTATGCAACCGGATAAAAATATTATTACATCATTTTTAACGTTCTCCATATGTTCAGTAATTTAACTGAGATGGATACGAGTTTTGAAGTGTGAATTGAATTTGAACAAAACAATTGGAAGTGTGAAAAATGTAGAATAAATTTTATTTCTTTTCTTTTCGAAGTTTTTTCTATGGGAACATGCGACCGGATAAACATATTTCGTACTCAAAAGATTGCAAGTACCACACCAGAAGGTTTTCCTTATTGCTACCCTTATCCGCATATTCGGATAAAAGTTTACCAAGATGGATAAGATATTTTAAGAGTGAAAAATGTAGAGAACAACCTTATCCAGGGGCAAAACAGTTTTCGACCTTATGGATAATGTCTCATCTTCACTTAACAAATCCGTTTCGTTTTAGAAGCATTTTACAGAAATTAAATTAAGTATTATGCATACGGATAAAAAAAAAATCCATAAAAAAGATGGATTATAGTGTCACTAAAGTAATATTTGATCATTATATGTATTGTTCGCATATACGGATAAAGTTTTTTGAGCCGGATAAGGAAGTTTGAGAATGAAAATGTTCATACAAGCTCCCATACATATGCCAAAAAATTATTTATCCTAAACCACGGGATACAAAAATTTGCAGTTGAAAAACAGATTTTATTGCTTTATCCTTTTTAATACAACAGTTTCTGTTTTATTGATATTTTCTTGGTGTTATATTAAAAGTAAAAGACGAAAAGTAACA